TTATAGGAACCAATGTTTTTTTTCTTTAAATTTTAGATATATAATAAATAAATAAAATTATATATATTAAATGTGTCCCCAGCATGTCGTATCCTCCATTTTTTAAAAATTTCTGTGTCCGTGTTGTGTCTGTGTCTATGCCGTGTCTTGTGTCCGTGCATCATAGTTTGTTGGGAAAAGGTGATATAGGGTTTTGATCCCCCATAGTGGAATGCCTAGTAAATTGTTTTGCACCCAAAGGAAACAATAAAACATTGTCTAATTGTTTATCACAATTTTGATGACGGGGTGATTCTGGTGTCTAAAGTTGCTGAGTTTGGGAGTTAGCACTCATATATTCGTTAGAACTTGCAGTTGAACTTCTGTGTCATTCTGTAGGTTTATACATATTGTGTCTGAGTATTAAAATATGATAGTGGTTTTTCTCTCAGTTCCTGATATGTCACTTCATATAAGGTTGTGAGCGATATTGGTCTCTGGAAGATATAGTCGCATAACTTCCATGAATTCTGATAAGTATAATGTTTGTAGTCATGCTTTGCAAAATTTTGCAACTTCCGAACTGACATTTATCTTAAAATTTTCAAATCAAAAAATTCATTACTTTTAGTATTTCAGAACTAGAAATTCAATGTTAAAAAATTTCAGCTTGATCAAACAGGCCCTCCTTTAATTTAAACTTAGTTACTTTCAATGGTCAATACAATAGTCTTATTAAGCATTTTAATTTTCCATTGAAAGAGGATAATCTAATATTTTCTCTAGAAAAGGGCACTCTCATCATAAAGAAAAGAATATATTAGATACACTCTCAAAACATTTTAAATGATAGTTCTTCCCATCCTTCATTTCTGCTTGGTTGCTATGGAATTCAGTACATGGAATCCATATTATCCTGCATCTATAAAATAAATCTTCAATGACACCATTTTTTTTTTCTGTCTGACTAATCTATTGAGATTCCACTCTTGTATTATATGTTAGATGCCTCGAAGGTATGACAGCCGTACAACAATCTTCTCTCCAGAAGGTCGTTCTGTACCAGGTTGAATATGCAATGGAAGCAATTGGAAATGCTGGGACTGCCATAGGGCTACTATCAAAAGATGGGGTCGTACTGGTTGGAGAAAAGAAAGTCACTTCCAAACTCCTACAGACCTCAACATCCACCGTGAAAATGTACAAGATTGATGACCATGTTGCATGTGCCGTGGCTGGAATCATTTCCGACGCCAACATCCAGCCCAGGTCCAAGCTTAGCGCTACACGTATGCTTACCAAGAACCAATGCCAGTTGAACAACTGGTTCAATCTCTATGTGACACCAAACAAGGATACACACAATTCGGTGGGCTTCTACAATTTGGTGTATCATTTTTGTTTGCGGGATGGGATAAGAACTACGGGTTTCAGCTTTACATGAGCGACCCGAGTGGAAACTATGGTAGTTGGAAGGCTGCGGCAATCGGTGCTAACAGCCAGGCTGCGCAGTCGATGCTTAAGCAGGATTACAAGGATGGTATCACAAGAGAAGAGGCGGTACATCTTGTGCTAAAGGTGCTCAGTAAGACTATGGACAACACCAGTCTTACTTCGGATAAGCTTGAACTGGCTGAGGTTTTCCTCTCTTCGGGGAAAGTGAAGTACCAGGTTAGCTCTCCCGAATCTCTTAGTAAGTTGTTGGTGAGCTTTAGGTTGACCCAACCCACCGCAGAGGCGGCATGAATTACTGTTATCTTGATTCAGACCTATGTTTCTGGACTAGTTTGAGATCTTACAAAGACATGATGTGTTGTGTTGATCTGATACAATTGTTATTTTTATGTTAGAAGTAGTGAACTTTTCTTATTCATGTTTTGAAACCCTTTATGGTTTATTTGCAGCTTTCTTGGATTATCTGTTTGGGCCAATTCTTCTGTTGACATGCTTTGTCTTTCAATGATTTTGAGAATTTTTGCTTAAAAATCAAGTTATGCTTCATTTTTCTAGCCATTATGCGAGTAATTTTTTAACTTGTACTGAATTTTTAATGTGCTAAAAAGCAAACAATATTTTACATATTCTTTAGCCTAAGTTTTCAATCTAGATTAAATTGGACAAATCAATTACTTAAAAAATGTCTACTAACAGATACATAAGCTAATTACTTTTTCATCAGGACAAGTTTTCTTTTAAAACATATCTTACCAAAATAAGATCTCAAATTGACATCTTGATACACCGATTTACCATAATAATAAATAGAGTCAATGGTGACTTCACCATGGGAAGAGTCTTCCGTTCATGGGCTTATGCACTCCACGACTTTCACAAGCCCAGTGAAGAAATTAAAAAAATAGGAAGTTCTTTGGGTTTCCTTCTTCTCATCTGAGAGCTGGGACTAAAACAATTCATCCCATAAGGGGTACACTAGGGAAAGGAAAGCAAATTCTTAAAAAAGGAAGTTCCGACAGATTCTTAGGCTCAATCTTAGGAGTATCTTACCAAAAAAATATATATAAGATTTTACAAAAATCTCAACAATACACTTTTCTTTTACTTTACTTCGCTTTAGTACCTTTTTCTTTTGAACAAAATTTTCACACAAAATTCTTCATAATGGGACGTAGCCTAACTCTAAACAACAATGATAGGTGGCATGAAAAAATATGGCTCGAATGGCTCGAAACACCAAAAACGACGTCATTTTGAATGTAAAACAACATCGTTTTGACACATTCGAGCCACAGAAATTTGGGCCACCAAACATTTTCCAACTCTAAATACCAATGGTGACTCCACATATTAAAACTCCAAGGAGCTTAGGACCTCATTTAAGAATTAATTTTTTGTAGTAATTTTTTGATTTTTTTTGTTAGATGAAAAAAAAAGGTAAATATTTTGAGAATAATTTTTTTTAATTATATAAAAAATCGAGATGTTTATTTTATTTATTTATGGTGATGATTTGGCTTGATAATATTAAGGGGTTGTTTGGGGGTGTCTTAAATAAGTATATTTTTTGGCTTTTTAGATTAAAAAGTTGAGGAAAAAAAATGATTGTTTAGGATAACTTTTTGACTTTTTAAAATTGAATAAATTAGTGTATAGGATAAGATTGGGATAGAATATGTTGTACGGTTAGATGAATTAAGGGACAGCGTGGGATATGTATAGGCTAGGAGATGGTTCCATGCTTTTCGGGCATTGAATTGGAGGTGTTGTTCGGCCTGTGAGGGCCCACCACGGGTCCCGTTTTGTTAATCAAAACCGTTGAATGTGTAGAACTCGTCAAGTACTATATGTTTGTAAAAAATCACATTGATCGGACATCAATTACTATCTGATCGGATTAGTTTTTTTTTCAACCATCTACTATAACACCATCCATTTTTTATACAAAACTGATTTGATCATGTAGTTACCGATATCCGATCAACGTGATTTTTTACAAGCATATATAGTACTCGACGAGTTCTACACATTGAACGGTTCAGATTTTTAAAAAGGACACGTGGTAGGCCCCCACGGGCCCAACCTTACCCTCCAACTTAATGAATATATGTATATATGTAATTTTCTTTTTTGTTCTTTGACAGACTACTTTTTGACATAAATTCAGTACCTGTCAACTCGTTGGTTTTTGTATTAAAATATTGTGTAAATTAATTTTTTTTTGTATTTTTAATTTGTGAATAGTGATAATTTTTAAATTTTTTTAGTAATTTTTTGACTTTTTAGATTTTTCCTGGTATGCCAAACTAGGCCTAAGAAAACTAAAATACAAAATATCACTAATTAAATAAGCTGCATGCCAATCATCATTACAGTTATTAGATTGAAATAAATTAACCAAAATTTATCACTAACATTGTAAAAATTTGTAACTTTCTTCACAATTTTTTTTCACTTTCTTGTGATTGAGAGGTGTTCATATAAAAATTTGTTTTATTCATGGATTATGTAGAGATTTGAAAATAGAAGGAAAAAAAAGAAAAAAGAAAGAAAAGGTAGGTAAAATATAACTAAGTCACTTATATTTCACACACTGTTTTTCTTTTTCTTTCTAAATTCTTTTTTGAATCCATAAACCAAACATAATTTTAGAGTAAATTACACTCACCTCTCTTGAGATTTGAGAAAAATACAGTTAGCCCCACAAGTATGACATAATTACACTAATCTCTTTTTTAATAAGGTTGAAGTAATTAAAACTAATGCAGATATTGGATAAATATTAAAATAAACATAGATAAATATGCATTTTAGTAGAAAATAGATGACAACATCGTCTTTTTAGCTAAACGATTCATGAACTACTGATAAATATGTATATATTTGTTTTTAAAATGGTAAGTGTACTCATAAGAGAAAAAATGTGTGTGCAAGTAGTAAAAAAGGGAACATTTTTTACTTTTAAATCTATATATTTATTATCTTCTCTTCTTCTTCTTTTTTTTTTTTTAAGGATAAATTACAAATACATCCCTTGAGATTTACTTAAAATACGAATTGCCCCATGTGATTTAGAAAATTATAAATACCTCACTGTCAGAATTTTTTATTTAACAGAATTAATTAAAAAAGTAAAATTTCTAACTGTTCACCTATACAATAATAAAATTATTTAAATTATTAATTGAAATAAAATTTTAATATTATTAAAAATTGTTAATTAACTTGATAAATTATTAATAAAAGTATTTATTTGTTATAAAATTAGAAACCTTAGGAGACATAATGTAATTTTCAAAATCACAGATATAATTTATAATTTAAATAAACCTTATGGAGTGTGTTTGTAATTTGTCATTTTTTTTTTCTACGATTGCTAATACTAATTCTAAGAACTTATTTTTTTATATCTGAAAAAAAGAAACACTAAAAATCATTCTTTACTAAAAAAATTATATAAAAATAATGAGTATTTATTTATTTTTACCAATTTAAATTTAAAAAATAAAAATAAATTCTGAAAATTCAAAAAGAAAAAAAACACAGAGAAAATGTCATGCCATCCCTTCTTGTCTCACATCGATTGTATCACCTGAAATTGGAGGGAGGGAGAGAGAGAGAGGGAGGAAACCTTGAACGTAGAAACAGTCCATGTCGAGGTGAGCGATGACCCTTGCACTAGATGATTCGGGTCGTGCCACTGGCATCTTCTCTCTCTCTGTTTTAATTAATTGTCGGGGTTTTTAGGGCACTTAGAATGAAGTGTTCTGTTTCAACGAATTCAATGGCGAAACCCAACATTTTCCCTTTGATTTTCTACATTTATTGGGTTACAAACATACTGCTTCATTTTTGTTTTCTGTTTATTTATTGAAATTATTAAGTACCTTGTAAGATAAATTGATAGAGAGAGAATAAATTGTATGTATTATGATTGATTTTTTGAATGCTGTATTGAATGTACATTATATAGGAGATGTAAAGTGGAGATGGAGTGGTGGAGTAGGTGAAGTGGAGGTGGTAGTGGTGTAGTGGGTTAGGTTTAGTGGAGTAGGTGAGGTGGTAGTGGTGTAGTGGGTTAGGTTTAGTGGAGTAGGTTTAACATACCTGATCATTGTTATTCATAATCAAACTATTTTTCATATTATAACCCAATTAAGCAATTTTATAAGCATGTAACATGCAAAACCATAAGAACCCAATTCTGCAATTTTATAAAGATGTTATACATGATCATTGTCTTTAATTCTTGACACTGTTATGCTCTATTGGTTCACTGGAAAGTGAGATGGAAATTGGAATATAATAGAATGATCATTCCGTTACATTGGTAAATGATGATTCTATTTGTAGTGTAATTTTTAATTTTTTTTTTTTGGTTAACCAAACATGCATGGAAATGGATATTTTGATGGAATGATCATTCCATTCCAGTGAACTGAACATTACCTTGGAGTCTTGTGGAACTAAGACATGTATGCTTCGGAGCAGGCTGTGCAGTCCATGATGCTATTTTTGTTCATTTCTTCAAATTATTATTTAACTGATTGTTGTTATTCATTATCAAACTCTTGCATTATAATCCAATTAAGCAATTTCACAAGCATGTAACATTTGAAACCATAAAACCCAATTTTGCATCATGATTTTAATTGTAAATAATACATGTGGGTTAAAAATGCATATCAAACAGAAATTGACTTCGGTTTCGTTACATCATATATGGAATATAGTTTAGTTTAGATGAAGAGACAATCTTTTTATCATTAACTGAAATCAAATATGATTTTGCAAACCCTTGCCAATTATCATATGTTTTCCCTATTTTTGTTTGCATGTCACACTGCAGTTGAGTGCAAGAACACCATTATGGCAGAGCTCCGATTTCATTGTTTTCAGTTTTCTTTAAATAATGATGGCCAAAGGCTCAACAAAAGAGAGAATAACATAATTTTCGTTGTGGACTTTCTTATGTTGTGATATGGGATCCTTGATTTGGTCAGGCTAATTGGTATTTGTTTTGCCTATGTAGTGGAGCAACGTAAACAGCCCCATTTAAGGGGTAAGCCCACTGCTGTGGTACAGTACAACTCCTGGAAAGGTGGGGGTTTGATTGCTGTCAGCTATGAGGCCTATAAATATGGGGTGAAGCGGTAAGTATTCGTTACTTATATTTTCTAAGTACTTCATGTATGACTGGATCTTCTTGGACTGGTGAACGCTATTATGTGGGTTTTTTAAGTTCAATGCGAGGTGATGAAGCGAAGCAAGTTTGCCCACAAATCCAACTTGTCCAAGTTCCAATTGCTCGTGGTAAAGCTGACTTGAGCATATACCGAAATGCGGGTTCAGAGGTTTAAAGAATTCATACGCGATCAGTTCTAAGATTGTTATATGTAGAAATTCACTTTGAAAAGGAACTCATGGTTGAGTAAGCTTAAACTTGCAGGTGGTTTCTATTCTTGCAAGGAAGGGTAGATGTGAGCGTGCTTCGATTGATGAATTGTATCTTGATCTCACTGATGCTGCTGAAGCAATGTTAGCAGAAACTCCTCCAGAGAGCTTGGAAGGTAGCACATACACTCACTTTGCATGCCAGAGCTTTCAAGGTAGTTACCTTTTCTTCTGATTCTCTCTTTCACATCTTAGATAAGCTTTCTGTCTCTGGGCAATCCAAATGTTTGCAAATATTTTGAATACCTCGACTCCAACACCTAGTTCTGTTGATTATGTCATCCTGCAGTCCAGTGACTAAGTCGCAGAAAAATTTTCTTTCCAAGTCTTGTCCATTGAGGTATGGCTCTGCCAAGATCAAAGAAGATGCCCTGAACTTATTTCAAGCGGGGTTACGTGAATACCTTGGCTCACACAGAATCAAGGCTCAGGGAAGTCACTACAATGGATAATTGCTATTTCATCTGTAAGTTCAAATTTTTTTGTTGTCTCATAATTTATTTTCTTGCAATGTCCATTTTTGAACAACATATTTATACTTGTTTGGATATGTAATTTTTAGTAGTAGGAGTTTGCCTTGCCATTAACATGTTATGATGTTATTAAGCCCAAACCTAACAACTCTGCAAGGATCATACTATTTAACCTGGGTTGAAGAAGCTTCAAAGACCTTATTTATCAACAAAAAAAAAAAAAGAAAAGAAGAAGCTTCAGAGACCTTGATAAAACTATTAACACCTTCTTACTGTTGCATCACATTTGCTCTGTACTTTTGTGGATGTCCAATGAGCATTGCTTAAGTGAGCTTTTACTGACAGGAATTGAAGTTGGGTTGGTGACAAGTGGAGCTAAGTTTGGTATGACATAGGCTATGCAACTTTGAACAGTTTTAACTTAAGAATTGGACCAAGCAGACTTAAATTGGTTAGTTTGGTTTCATTCCGTATGGGACTTAGATCAGTCGGCTCAATAATTTAAAAATTGGGGATGATCAGTTTGGTTTTGATTGATGGATGGGGTAACTATTTTGTCCTTATATACTAATGCTTTCTCACCTTTTAGATTTCACCATTTAGTTCTTGGTTTTTTAATATCTTTCCTGGTTTGATATTGCCCTTTATTGTATATTTCTAATAATGATAGCCTATGTTGAGGCATTAAACTCTCTGAAATAACCTTGCAATCTTTACATATTAAGCAACACGCTCTTCTTACAAGAAAATCATCTATTTGACTCTTATTTGACCTACTTTTAAAGGTTATTTAGTGTTCTTCTCCAGCCTCATTTCGGTGTCCAAAAACTATATCCACCATGTATTCTCTGATACCCTTAGTTATCTTTTTCTACATTACCGTTGAACTCTCCAACTATAATTATCTTCTCTCCAACAGATATTTCTTGCATTAGTTCATCCAATTGATTCCAAAATTGTCCTTTAATATATTCCTCCAATCATATTTGGTCGATACTCTCAAAACCGTTGTGCTAGCTGATACTGATACTGCGATCTAAGACCATTCTTCTAACGAAAACTTTCATGAGATGAGCATATTGCAATTCATGTAGTGCCTTCAAATTATCTTGTTTCCCACTCATTTAAATATTGAAACATAATTTCCTCTTCTTTTATTATTATATTCAATACTGGCTCTTGAATACTTTTGACAGGGGACATGTTCAATCATGAAATACTTTCATGGGCAAGATCAGTCCAACTGTTCGTCCACGCAAGTGAATGACAGATTTGTCGCAGAGGCTGCACCATTATCACCCTCCGGGACTGTTCTCATACTATATGCTGCTTTTTGTTTCTTTTTACTTTAGTTTTACCATTAGTTTTGCAATTTTGGTAAAGTATGACATTCTTTCAAGAACTGAAAGATATCCAGAGTTGCATACAACTGAACTGCCCATAGAATTCCGTGAGGAAGAAACAAGGATTAGGTATGCCATGCCAAGTCTGGATCAACAGGAAAACAAGGGAGAAGTATCTACGAGAGAGGTTTGCATTTATGTTGGCTTAAATTTAGTTTATTGATTAATTGTTTTAATGGGTACCAATCTATATCTATACTATATATTAAGCAAAAGGCGGTTTTTAACTCCAAGCCTTGTGGGAGCTCCAATCTCCCAATCTAAATTTCTTGATTTTTTGATTTTTAAAAAAAAAACCATAGCATTTATTAACTTCTCCCAACCCCCAAGTCTTACCCTCATAATAACACTTTAATGCATTAAGTACAAGCATAAAAAAAAAAAAATCTTTAAAATCCAACACATTCATTCCTTGAAAAGTCCCAACACATATGATTATTATCCCTCATAATAACACTTTAATGCATTAAGAACAAGTATAAAAAAAATTTCTTGAAAAGTCCAACGCATATGATTATTATCAAAATATTAAACTTTAATATAATATAATAATAAAAAAAGACATTTAATTCCTTGAAATGTCTAACACGTATGATTATTATCAAGATATTAAAGTTTAATATAATATAAAAAAGGAAAAAAATAAGGCATGTAAAAAAAAAGAAAAAAAGAAGACATTTAAAAATCACAATTCACATATATAGATAATTGTAAGCACAATCCGTGCATAGCACGAGTGATATGTTAGTCTATACTATATATAAAGCAAAAGGGGGTTTTTAACCCCAAGGCCTGTGGGAGCTTCAATATCCCAATCTGAATTTTCTAAATTTTTTATTAAAAAAAAAAACTCAGCATTTATTGATTTGGTCAATATCCCCTGTTCAGCATTTGTTAACTTTTTTCAATCTATATATCTTTCCACATGACTGCATTTATTGATTTGGTCAAAATTTCCTAATCACCATTTAAAATACCCTCATACAAATAATTATAGATACAATCTGTGTATAGTTACTGCAGTACCCTTTTCAATTTCTCCCATACACTATAGTTAGTGATAAGATTGTTAAATTATTTTTATAAAAAATCTTAAAAAACATAATTTATATATTAAAAAAATCTAAAACAAATATAAATATATATAATTATCCCGTGAATAGCACGGGTGATAGGCTAGTATATTATTATAAGAAAGCTAAGGCAGTTACGATGCTTTTACATCTGTCAGTCTAAGGTTTTAACAACCAACCGCTCTAGAAGCATAACCTGTTAGAAAGCAGTGTAATTGTTATTTATATCATCATACCCCTTCAGTAAGCTGTGGAAGTAATAATTGGTTTCACTCGATCACATGACATTATAGCTGCATGACCTTCAACAGTAGCTCTGATGCATCATATCTGATTGCATTATTTGCAAATGGTTTGGTCTTTGTAGGATACATGTGAAACCATGCAATCCACTGATGACCAAGTGATATCTTGTTCTTTGTCCAAGCAGGCACATGATGCTTTCATCCAAGAAACTTCAGCATTGTCATCCTCAGGTAGTGATCTTGCTCCTTGGCTTTGATCCGGTCATTCTTTTCTTTCTACCTTCTTTGTTATTAATTTCTTTTGTTTTCGTTTTATCTTCCTTTTGCATTATTAGCTCATGGATTTGCATTAGCATGTCATATGGTCAGTTTTATCTGCGTTAGTCTTTTGGGTCTGTTTCTTATTGAGATTATGATCATAGTTAGTTTAGTTTTGGACTATTGGCTAGATTAGTTATTTGGTTTGACTTTTAAAATCCATAGACTTATTGGACTTGTGCTTCTGGATAGTCATGTTATGTGCACATCACAGCAGAGCTTTGTGCATTTCAACATAAAGGTCTTCTGTGCGAACGAGAACGAGTTGATGCTATGTAACTGGATACTAAAGTGATCACTGTTCGAATACAAGGTGGTTCATTTAAATGCAGTGCCTTTTGTTCGGACATATATGCCACTTGTATGGCAATGTTGTATGCGTTTCCTTCCATATGCGGAACGGAGTATTGGTAACTTCTAAGTACTTGTTCTCTTAGTTTTTCATTTTTTTTTTCTTTCTATATATACATGCCTTCACTTATTTGTTAGGGTAACAAAGAGTTGAGTATTCATTGATCATTGGGAGAACTTGAGAGAGCTTTTCATATAGTCCATATTCTTTCTTCAAGTTTTTTAGTGATTTTTGAGTGTGCAAAGGTCTTGGAGATCTTTGTGTTGAATCTAAAACTTGTGAGTGCGTGTTGGAATTGGTTCCTTGGGTAGCTCTGCATTTATATGGATTTAGGGCGCGTACATTGATCGACGTATGTAGCTGATTGCCGTCGTTTAAATTGACATGACTAGTGGAGACTTGAAGGTACAAGTGAAATTGGACATACGTGGAAGCAAATTGGACTATGAAACTACCCTTGGGCCATGTTTGTTTGGGCGGACTGGATTAGCATTCCCATGACTAATAGTCCTAGGACTACGAATTCGTTGGATTATGTATCCTATCTTAACTAATAGTCAAGTTTAAAATAATTAGTCCGTACTTCAATTGTTTAACCAAACATTGGATTAATAATTTTATTGGATTATTAGTCCAATCCCAAGCTCATGTCCACCCAAACAAACATGGCCTTGGTGTTTAGTAAGTAGGATCTATGTGTCTGATTTTGGTGAAACTCGTACTCGATATTGATTACTAGTAGTTGTTTGCGTCTGTGGTTTTTTCCTGGGTTTGGGTTTCCTTGTAAATCCTATCTCTTCAAATTGTTTAAATAACTTAGACTAATTTGAATTAAATATGTTGGATTAAAAGATTCCTGTCAGTTCTGTTTAAACTGAAAAAATAAATGCAGCTGTTTGGCATGTTCATTTTTTAAAACCCACCTCACAGGGACTGAAAGTTCTTTGGCACTGAATCCAGTTGAGCCACACAGAGAATTCCGTAAGGAGGAAATTCGGATCAAGAATTTAACGCATGGTATGAGACCACATGATCACAAAAGAAAGATGGTGAAAGACAAGGTTTGAATAAAATCTTCCCTTTTTGTTTCACAGTTTTATTTGTTTTCTTCTATTAAGATCTGTATTTATCTGTTCACAAATGAAAAAAAATAAAAAAAAGCCTCAGCGACAATTTGTGACTTATCCTTGTTACCTATGATTCATTTTCTAAACTGCCCCTTGTGGCAGGGATCATCTACAATCTTGAGATTTTTTCAGAGTTGCAACAACTCTTTCTGTTCCCCCAAGCAAGAGCATGTTAGAACTATTGATGAAACTGAAGCATCTTCATCCTCAAGTAATTCTTAGATCTACCTTTAAATCCAAATTCATGCCAAGCCTCTCTCTCTCTCTCTCATGTTTGATCTTGGTGCAGGCTTTCAATCAGTAATTGGCAGTTCTGAACTGATTGATGCTGAGTTACGCAAAAAGAACCTGCTTACATAGATGGGAACACATAGTGGCATGTCAATTTTAGATCGAGATGATAGGAGAAGGGATGCGTGGGATTACAAGATTGATGAGATTGACCCTACTATGGTTAATGAGTTACCACTTGAAATCCAGGAAGAGTTGCAAGTGTGGCTCCGACCTCAGAAGCGGGTAGCTAATATTGGCAAACGTGGGTCTAGTATTGCTCATTATTTCTTGCCCACGAAAAATACATAAGCAAGTCAAAAGTAATCAGAACCATCATTTTCTCTGTTTTATGTATTTATTTTTTCATGAGCCGCTTCCTTGTAATTCACATGAAAATGGAGTCTCGAAAACCCAAAATCCTTTCGATCCATCAAGATTTACATCTTAGGTCTTGGTGTTTGCACGTTAAGTGTTTTTAGTTGGTAAATCCTTTCTTGTATGTAATCTTTATACCTATGTGTAAATCCCCTCTTTTTTCTTTCCCTCGTGCAATGCATTTCAATGCCTGTAAACATTTTCAGATCTCTCTCTCTCAAATGTTTGTTAGAACTTGCGTTTAGGATGTAATCTTTTTTATTTTTTTTATATATTTTTCATTTTCGTTCTCTCTCTACTCAATTGGGCTACATATAAAACCAAATTATTGGAATTTAATGCTAAAAATGTCAACTTGTAAAGCTAAATAGACGAGGGGGGGGGGGGGGGGTGGAGTAGGGTCCTTGACCCATACTATTACTCACATATTGTCATTGCTATGATATAAATGTAAAATGAAAAAATCATGCAATGTTATCACTATAACGATAATGGGAGCACTTGAATTTAATAGAAGAAATAATGATTAAATAGGTGTAGAATTATGATAATTTAATAATAAAAAATAATGTGTAAATGACATGTCTTTTTTATTTTAGTTTTTGTAATTTCAATTTGAACAACTTTAATTTACACTTTCATTTTTGTTGTAATGTAATCATGACAAACAGTTTAGAGCCATCTTATATGCATTGCAAGAATACTTATGCAGTATAGGAGTTATTAATAGAGAAATTTTTAAAAATTTAAGAAGTCATTCTATGTGTAATATAAAATAATTTATAAATGTAGGATTAATTAACTAATTTTAAGAAGTTTAGGGGGCCTGCCATCCCACAACTCTAGCAATCTTGATTTGAAGTTATGTGGTGTTACTATTACATTGGAGGTGTTTGGGAATTGATTTTCTAGTATTGTGTTTTTAATTTTTAAGAAAAATGTGCATAAAAGTAAAATATATATATATATATATATATTTGATAACTTGTAATTACTTTTTAATTAAAATCTAAGATTTTCAAAAAAGTTTTAATATATATATTTTTCTTAGATATTTTAGCTTTAATAAAAATTAGATTGCAGGGACCTAACCAAATTGGTAGGTATACCATCCATATAATTACTTGGAATTTAACTCTTAGGACCAAACTATGTGAAAATAATTTTTTATGAATTTTCTAATCCCAACATGAATTCGGAAAAAGAATTAATTGAGATGGACATAAGTTAGATCGGATATATCACCACGTAACCCAAGAAAAAAAACATATTAGACCGGATTGATTACCTAAAGTTGGAAAGAGGGATGTTTCACTAATTTTTCTAAAATTTTATTGCAAAAAAAGAAAAGAAAAGAAAAGAAAAGAAAGAGTATTGACATAGGAGAGTCGAGGGAGAGTAGATTAAAAATAAAATGGGAACTTATCAATAGGTCCCATACAAAAAATTCAGAACTCATCTAATTTTAAAACAAAACACTTTCACCAATTAGTCCTACATATTTTTAATTGTTACTAATTTTTTTTATTTTTTATTTTTAAAGACGCTGCTACATTTCACCAACGTCGGACTTCCGTTAGACAATCATTGAAGACTCGTCGGAATGTTCTATATCACTGGGAAGTCGCTGGAGTATCACTAAAGATTCACAGGAGTATCGTCGAAGTGTTCTGAACATCATCGGAAGTTGCCGGAATGTCTACAATATTTATTGGACGTCAAGAATATCGTCGAAGATTCACTAGAATATCCAGAATATTGTAAAAAAAAAAAGAGAATAAATTGAGAAATTAGAGCGGAAAAACATAGCAAAATTCGTTAAATATTGATAAATTGAAAGAAGAAAAAAAAATAAAAATAAAAAACGAGAACAATGGGAAAAAACATATGTTATTTCAATTTTTGTAGGGTTTAATCATTATATTTACTCAGTTTTTACTCAAACCAAGAGACTTTATTTACTCAAAATTTTAAAGCTTACCATGTGGTGGTGACATGTAATCCTCCAAATTTATCACTTTGCCACACACACACATTTACTCATATGAATAAATTTGAGTGCATAAATAAATTTCACATAATATATTGCTCTATTTAAATTTACACTAAAATCTGAATTTGATTGTTGTAATATTTTATATCACATGAAACATTTAATTAAATTTAAGTAAAAATATGAGTAAGTGATGGAGATGACCTTGGATGAAACATATATGAGTGGGATTTGGCCAACTTTTTATTTAGAAAATAAACCTTAGAAGGCAACATATATATGACAAACAATAGTGGTACATACAACAATGATACATTCCACTAATTTGGGAGCACTAATGGATCACTAATGAGGTGAAAATTTTTTAAAAAAAAAAAGAAAAAAAAAAAAACTTG